CGCGGCCTGGGCCCATTGTCACGGAAGTGCCTAACTGGCACACGTCAAGAAAGACCAAAGCGAACCGTGTCAGTGAAAAAGAGGCCAAAAGTAAACCAGAACTAAAGCAGAATGTATCAGGGTGACACAATCAGGCCTAAACCAAAGAAAAGGGAAACCTAGAACTGAACCAGGAGAACTGAACCAGGAGAACTGAACCAGGAGAACTGAACCAGGAGAACTGAACCAGGAGAACTGAACCAGGAGAACTGAACCAGGAGAAATGAACCAGGAGAAATGAACCAGGAGAAATGAACCAGGCCTGAACCAGGAGAACTGAACCAGGCCTGAACCAGGAGAACTGAACCAGGAGAAATGAACCAGAAGAACTGAACCAGGACTGAACCAGAAGAACTGAACCAGGAGAACTGAACCAGAAGAACTGAACCAGGAGAACTGAACCAGGACTGAAACAGAAGAATTGAACCAGGAGAACTGAAGCAGGACTAAACCTGGACTGAACCAGGGGGACTGAACAGAGACTAAACCAGGTGTAAACCAGTAGGACTGAACCGGGGCTACAGAACTATAACTACATCAGGATTAAAACAGGATTTAATCATTTAAACATAGTGGTCCTCGTGATATTTCATTGTAGGTCTAATGCATAGCCTAATGTTTTCCTCCTCTCCAAGCATCACGTTACTTTTGCGACCACAGCCTCACTATTTTCTCCATTCATGTTTGATAAAGATAATATAGTTTACCGACAAACTTACTTCATTTCTGTTCTTGGGTAAAATGACACCGCTTCTCCTGCTTCTTATCGTCTTCTTTATTTTTTTTTTAGAGCGCCACTGAGTAAGTTATTGTAAAGTCATTCATGTTTTGAAACGACTACAGTGTGCAATTTTGGGAGCACTGCATCTGCCTGATCCGTAGTACCGGAAGCAGATTTTGTTGGTGTCTGTATTGACTTGTGACCAGCGCCCTCAACGGTTAGTGTGAGTACTACAAGGACAGCAGGATGACCCCGGATGACTCCCACAGCCCAGTGATCAGTATTTTTTCTCTATGTAAACTATTCATTTAACCTGGTTTTAGACTTAGTAGAAAGTAAATGAAATAAACACACAAATATCAATTGCATAAAATAAATGTTTAGTTTAAAGTACACTGCTTACATAACTTTCTTGGAATAGTTGGTAGAGTAACTGAAAACTGAACTGAAAATTAATGTTCCGATAGACACAGAAATAAAAGAAACTTAAAGCAATTGCATCCTCCTGGGCCATGAGGACCCGAGCTGAATGAGGGTGAGAGAGACCTACCACCGTGGAAGGTGAGAAACACATTTATATATATATATATATATATATATATACATACAGTCCCTGACAAAAGTCTTCTCGCTTATCCATTTTGTAGAAACAAAAGTTTATAACCTGACTTTAAATTAATCGATTGGTTTTAGAAATGTCTCATATGAAAGCTAAAACCCTCCCAAATTATGCTCTATATACTAAAATAAATTTGCTTCACTGAAGAAAGATTGATCATTTAAGGAACACAGAAAGGTCAAATTTTGGCAAGACAAAAGTCTTGTCGCCTTGTCATATGATGCACTCAATTCTAGATTACAGCCTCATCTGTGATCAGTTACTGATCAATTAGTGTTTGTGTATAAAAAGAACTTCAGCACACCAGACCTTCACGTCAACTGCAACTTGACCTCTGACAACATGCCTAAGATCCACCCTGAGACCAAAGCGTTAATTATCAAGAGGCTGAAGACCAGATCCACTGCTGAGGTGGTGACACCTTCAACGTGTCTCAGCGTCAAGTACAAAGAATAAGAAAAAGATCTGAAATGACTGGAGATGTTTTTGACAAGCCCAGGTCTGGCAGACCCCGCAAGACAACTGCTCGGGAGGACCGTTTGTTGATTTGAAAATCCAAGGCCAGCCCCTTTTCCACTGCAGCAGACTCCACCAGGCCTGGTCATCTCAAGTCCCTGTGTCAACCAGAATCAGTGCACAGAAACCAGCACTAAACAAAAGGCAATTAAAAAACTGTGTGGCATTTGCCAAGGCCCACAGCCTGCTAAAAGGATGGACACTGGAAAAGTGGCAGAAGGTGGATTCCTCAGATGAATCCTCGGTTGAATTACATCACAGCCGCCGCAAATATTGCAGGAGACCTACTGGAGCCTGCATGGATCCAAGATTCATCCAGAAAACAGTTAAGTTTGGTGGCGGAAAGTCATGGTCTGGGGTTACATCCAGTATGGGGCTGTGCGAGACATTTGCAGGGTGGAAGGCAATATCAATAGCCTAAAATATGAAAAAGTATTAGCTACCTCTTACATTCCCAACCATAAAAGGGGATAAAAGGGGTCAAATTTTGCAGCAGGATGGTGCTCCATCGCATACTTCTATCTCTACATCAAAGTTTCTCAAGGCAAAGAAGGTCAAGGCAAAAAGTCTTGTCGCTTATCCATTTTGTAGAAACAAAAGCTTATAACCTGACTTTAAATTAATCGATTGGTTTTAGAAATGTCTCATATGAAAGCTAAAACCCTCCCAAATTATGCTCAATATACTAAAATAAATTTGCTTCACTGAAGAAAGATTGATCATTTAATGAACACAGAAAGGTCAGATTTTGGCAAGACAAAAGTTTTGTCGCCTACAGAAAATTGAACAAATAATTTACTTCAAATACAAAAATATGTTGCATAACGTCAGTGAATTAAGTAGTGGTGCTGTGAGATCCATATTTAATATCTTGTATGACTTCCAGGAGCTTGAAGGACTGCATCCATGTGGTTCAACAATGATTCATACAATTTGTTGATGAAATCATCAGGAATAGCAAAGAAAGCGTCTTACATGCCTCCCAGAGTTCATCAAGATTCTTTGGTTTTGCCTTCCATGCTTCCTCTTTCATTCTACCCCAGACATGCTCAATGATGTTCATGTCTGGTGACTGGGCTGGCCAGTCCTGGAGCACCTTCATCTTCTTCGCCTTGAGAAACTTTGATGTAGAGATAGAAGTATGCGATGGAGAACCATCCTGCTGCAAAATTTGACCCCTTTTATGGTTGGGAATGTAAGAGGAGCTAATACTTTTTCATATTTTAGGCTATTGATATTGCCTTCCACCCTGCAAATGTCTCGCACAGCCCCATACTGGATGTAACCCCAGACCATGACTTTCCGCCACCAAACTTAACTGTTTTCTGGATGAATCTTGGATCCATGCAGGCTCCAGTTGGTCTCCTGCAATATTTGCGGCGGCTGTGATGTAATTCAACCGAGGATTCATCTGAGAAATCCACCTTCTGCCGCTTTTCCAGTGTCCATCCTTTTAGCAGGCTGTGGGCCTTGGCAAATGCCACACAGTTTTTTAATTGCCTTTTGTTTAGTGCTGGTTTCTGTGCACTGATTCTGGTTGACACAGGGACTTGAGGTGACCAGGCCTGGTGGAGTCTGCTGCAGTGGAAAAGGGGCCGGTCCTTGGATTTTCTAATCAACAAACGGTCCTCCCGAGCAGTTGTCTTGGTCTGCCGGACCTGGGCTTGTCAAAAACATCTCCAGTCATTTCAGATCTTTTTCTTATTCTTTGTACTTGACGCTGAGACACATTGAAGGTGTCACCACCTCAGCAGTGGATCTGGTCTTCAGCCTCTTGATAATTAATGCTTTGGTCTCAGGGTGGATCTTAGGCATGTTGTCAGAGGTCAAGTTGCAGTTGATGTGAAGGTCTGGTGTGCTGGGGTTCTTTTTATACACACCCACTAATCGATTGAGCAGTAACTGATCACAGGTGAGGCTGTAATCTAGGATTGGGTGCATCATATGACAAGGCAACAAGACTTTTGTCAGGGACTGTATATGTGTGTGTGTGTGTGTGTGTGTGTGTGTGTGTGTGTGTGTGTGTGTGTGTGTGTGTGTGTGTGTGTGTGTAAAAATCAGTGGAGACAGTGTAATCCCTCATTTGGCGAGAAGATGTCCAAGATGAAAATAAGACATTTCATCTCCAATCCAGGCCAGTAGCATCACATTGAAGATAACTTTTGGAAGGTGGTTAAAATGTTAGTTTAACCAAACATATATTTGTCAGATGCCACATTGGGGGGTGTATAAAAATACTTTAAAAAGGTTATATATTCTATAGCTATTTGGAATGACTTCCCTGAGGTTCGCACCATCAGTGTCATCTTTTAAATTACTTCTTAAAACCCATTTCTATCGGCTGGCCTTCCTTTAGCTGGTTTTAGCTTGATTTTATTCCTTGTTTATTTTGACTCTATTTTATTTATTTTTTTTATTAACTAAACAGTTGCATCATTGTCTGTTTTTGTATGCCTTCTGTATGCTATTTTTATTCTTTTTCTTTTGTTCTTTGCTGCTTGTACAGCACAAACCTTGTTTTTTTTAAAGTGCTTTATAAATAATGATTTATTATTACTATATCAAAATGGACGGCAGATAGCGAGCAGTGCTGTGGGCTCTTCACTCTTCGCTCATTTGGGTGAGAAGCAGGTTTTTTTTCATGTTTCTCTGGCATGCTCATTGTTTTGAGAAAATGTTGACATTTGGGTCAGGTCAGTTGAAGCTTGGTTGCCGGTGCAAGTTTTATTCCAAAAAGGTTCACTTGAGTTCATTGAGTGTCCAAACCTTAAATCAGTTGATCAGACAGGTCACTTGAACACCACCACTCTGCTATAATATAAGGCATCAGGTATGAAAACAAACTAAAACTAATTCTGAAAAAAATCTACTACAATAAATAATCAAGAGACCAAATGAACCTCACGGGACGGTGTCAATCTGCAGGTGAAGACATAGGCAACCCAGATTCAATTGTGACTACAATACTTTTTGTAAAATTGTAAGAGCACAGATTAGAGCTCCTCTAAGAAAAAGATTCAAACAGGACAAACGGAAACAACATGGTGACTTCATTCACCCTCTGCCTCTAGATCTGACCTGGATGACTCAGACATACAAGTGATATAAATGTATCATTTATTGGCAATTGACTCAAGTACAGTGGGACTCTCATCCCCATGTACAGTTTTTGGTCCTGCTGTATGCTGCATACATGTCTCAGTTCTGTGCCTCTCCTTAGCAGCTCTTGCACTTTTATTAGACATTCCTTGAGTATTCACTTGAATCTATAGCTTAAAATAAAACAGTCCAGTTAAATAAACGCTTCTAAGTGACATCATATAAAATACATGTGTTTCATTTTAAAGGCATAAGCGGTTGATAGATTCAAAGTTGAAGTAGTCCACAGCTGCTGAAGAGCCCTGAACAGGAGCAGATTAGTGTTCTAATGGAGAGTATCCAGAGTTCTACTCTGAAGCACATTACATTCATAGATTAGAGTTTTACTACACTACATTGGGTCTCATAGATGAAGCCTGTGCACTTTCTGTGTCTTATGTAAAGTCAGAGCACATGACTGAAAACAAATAAACTCTTTCATCTTTGCATTGTTTTGTACATGCTATAGGCCACATATCCCCCCTTCCAGCAGACACTTTCACATATTCCTCCACTGATCACAGACCCGGGGCTGGAGAGGAGCCCCTGTAGCGATCCATGATTCTCAGTATGTCGTCCATGATGGAGGGTCCCAAGTCCAAGTTCAGTGCAGCCATGGACTCCGAGTGAGGAAGTGTTGTGGAAATAGGAAGCAGCAGAGGGGAGCCATCACTGCGCAGGTCTTCATTACTCAGACCTGCATCTGAGTCAAGAGAGAGGCCCTGTGAGACCCCCAGGGGCCTGCAAGTGTCCAGCAAGGAATCCTCTGAAGACGAGTTAGACAAGGGAACCAGCTGCTGTATGGTGGGAGATAGGGAGATGTTTGTTTGTGCACAGAGGGTAGGCCCATGGTAAGTGGGTGTGTCCAAGTGTGGGCAGGGGTTGGACCCATGCTGAGCGGGTGTGTCCAGGTGTGAACAGGATTCAGGTCCATGTTGACGGGGAATGTCCAGGTGCAGACGAGGGGGCTTGGGTGGTGCATCCTCCTGGGCCATGAGCAGGGGCAGAGAGGTGGTTGTCCACAGAGGCTGGGGGTTAGAGTCATAGGGGCTCTGGTGTGGGTGGAGAGCCTGGGGGGAGGACCCATGTCCATTGGGAGGGGGGAGCATGTCCATGTTGCCTTGAAGGAAAGCCACGTCCCCAAACATGTCGCCCATTCCCTGGAGGCCCACATGGGCACTGTGCCTCACATCGCCCAGAGGTGGGCTGATCATGTCCCCAGACAGGACCTCCCGAAGCTTCAGTTTTCTGCCTCTCCGGTCTGTTGGAGTTTTCAGGTAGATAGGCGTCTTTGCAGGCATTTTCCAGCTGCAAGGAGGGCCAGCTCACTCCTTCTGGAACAGCGCTGCAAACAGTACACCTGTGGGGAGGGAGAGGTCACAAGTCACAAAATCAAACCAGTGTCTGTGAAAACCATCATCAAGAAAATTTACTACAAATGCTATTCTCACTGTCAAAAGAATAAATAACATTTAAAGCAGGTTAAGCTGCTGCATTCAGTGACTGCACACTGTTGCACAATTACACACTGCTACTCACTGCTACTCACTGTTACTCACTGAGGGTCTACACACTGCTCTACATACTGTGTGTGTGTTTGGAAGGGGGGTTACGTAAGTGCTACTGGCCGCTTCCTGACGCCTCACATTGGACTCCAGAAAGGAAACACCAGCGCCAGCAGGGACGCATCCTCACTCCAACACTTACGCAACATACTTTAACAGGATTTTTGGGCTTTATCTCTTTTAGGCCTATCTCAAATTCATGTAAGGCTACAGCACCAGCTGTGACACACTTGGTCAAAGTTACAGTAGTGACCACTCCTTATGGGACATGTCCCGTTCACCGGAATCAGCGCTCAGTGGACCAAGATCAGACCCAAAGTTTTTTGGGTGTAGCTCACTGGTCCATCCACAGGAGCGTCTTTCTGCTCTACACGTGACCGGGTTTGGCCGCGCTTTGGGGGTTTGACTCTGTCCGACCCGCTGCAGTGATGGTCAAAGTTCTGGTGGACCGTGGGGCACATTTGAGCGCGTGCGCGCGTCCAGCTGTTCATCGATAAATAACCCGCCCTGCCCCGGACCGACGGTACACGGCTGCTTTATAAAGTAAGTCACTATACCTTCGGCTGTCCTCGGTCCCTTCCTGTGGTTTCGTCCCGTAGAGCCCCGTCCCAGAGCGGGGTGAGGTGTGGTCTCTCCCAACGCCGAAGTGGACAGACTGAAGTTACGCCCAGGCACTACCGCACGTCCGCCTCGGACTTTCACAATAAACTCGGATGTGTCAGCGTCTGTCACAAACAAAACGTGTCTACTTACACTGTACAGTGTGGCAGGCTGCCTAACTGCATCCGAACTTCACCGTGGGGTAGTCGAGCACAGAGGTGCTTGCAGTGCCACTCACAGTAGAGCTACTCACCTATTACCAGGCTTCAATCACAGAGAGACGTGGACACAGACACTCATGAGAGCCAGGCATCAGGTGCTGGGGTCCTCACAGAGGATGCGACTGATTTTAGCACTGCCTTGAATGTTTTTTTGTTTTTTTTTATTGACCAATGCCACTGTTGATGTGACTTTGGGCTCTACAAAATACATTGAACTGAAGTTTGATCAGGACGTTACGGTGTGGGGGCCCTGTCCCACAGATGCACAGGTTGAGTCACAGGAAAGCACGTGAGGCATTCCAGAGCAGGCAGGAAACCCGCAAGATATGAGTAGTTTGAATCCTGTAAGAGGATTCCTGCTAAATATATACTACAGCAGAGCTCTGGACTAAACAGGATTAAAGACCAAGCACACACGCGCTCGCACACGCACTGAAATTAAAGTTTCACTGTGTAGCTTTTCTGGTGTGGGGTAAACTTGTATTAGGTTATTGCTTAGAGAGTTTGTAAAAAGCAAGCATTGTTACTCCATGGGAAGTCACCTGTGTTTCCTTGCCTGTCTCCATAGTGATAGACAAGTTTAATGCCAGATTGTAGAACATTTCAGACAAAGCGATAACATCTCCATGGAGACAAGTAGGTGGCAGCCCCTCCACTGGAAGTTAAGAGTTACCCAGAGAGGGTATTGTGCAAAATATAACTTATTTGGAGTTTTCTACCATGTTAGATGTCCCCTCATCAAAAAGTCTAGTTTAGTTCAGTTTAGACTCAACACATAAGTTTGATAACTTAAAAGTGTTACCTGATCTCCAGTCTTTAGACACCAGTCTAGCATATTGCATATTTCATATCTCGATGCTGTCTGTTTAACTTGGTCAATAAATATTCATAAACCACATTTGCTTTGGTGAACAGTGATGTTATTTCCAGTTATGGATCATTGATATGGACAAGAATTTAAGAACCATAGGAACAATTGTTTAATTATTAATGAATTAATGTAAATAATTGATTATATTGGATTGGTAATATTTTTCAACATTTGTGGAGTAGTGCCCCAAACTCTTCTTCTAGTCAAAGCCAAACACTCACAAAAGCCACGTGAGTGCTGCTTTAACTTAGATCTCTTAAATTCCTATCTTTAATATCAATTACCCCTTTTAAAATGACTTACAGTACTTTCCCAAGTTTAGGAATTCTAAAAGTATTTGGTCAGTTGATAATTAAGATTATTCAGGTCACAATAAATTATAAATATTATAAACTATAATTACCATGACAATTTTTTAAGACATTTTACTTCAGGCTAAAAGAAAACCAGAATGTAAAAGTGCTTTTGTGCTCCTTTGTTACTATAACATTATAGTATCTTTATCATTCATAAAATTGGATTTCATGAACAGGCTTACACTAGGGGAATTGTAAAGTAGTAGATATTTTACTGAAAGTGAAATAAAAATTTCACTGAGGTTTGGTCAAGGTCAATAACTGGGAATCATCATAAAAAGTCAAGACATTGTAGGGTTGCAATATTAGCGGAAATCAAAGCATAATTTGAATCAAAACTCAAATTTTTTAATTAACATAATTTCCTGCACCAACAAAATCTCCTGTCCTATTCTGCATAGAAATGTAACTAAACCCTGTAGTTTACATCTGTACACACATTTGTTATACAATGTGATTCTTTTATTAGTTTGTCAATTCTTCTAGATGCACTTAAAATGTGAACTTTGAACAGAGTCCAATTATTGAGAGATAAATCACAAATCTAATCACAAAGCTTGTCAGAAATATTGTACTTTTTCCTAAATTGTGCAACCCTAATTTTGAGTTGAACATTTTAGTCACATTACATTAAAGTCCTAACTTTCTGAGCTCTTAGAGTGAGTAGGTAGATGAGTCCAGGATGAGTGGTGCTGTCGTTGGTTGAACATGGTCCACCTTTATTTAAACACAGACAGCCTCTCTTACAGTGTCGTCTCTCCAAAGCCAAACACAAAACACATGTGTACCAGAATGAAGTCACGAGTCACACACATTGTCCGCCATTTTGTCTGCAGTCCAGGATGAGCCTACCTCATCCTCCAATACACACACAGCAAATAAAAAAATAGGTCTCTTTGGCCTGGTAAACTCTGAACCTCCAGGCTTCATCAAGAGATGCACAAGTATAAAAATAAGTTAAACATTTGACTTCAGGTTCATTGACCTCAACATATATTGGTCTACAAAAGCTCCAGGACCCTACAGACAGGGGTGAGTGGGGTGGGGGGGCAGGGTTAAAATCAGTGAGATTGAGAGCAGAGGAGCAGAGTTCATCTGTTTGTGAGCACTCCATATTCATTGTGAAGCAGGGCAGCGCTGTGTTGTATCATGGTACTTGTGTTGCCTTTAAAACATGCTAAAACAAATGTGAAAAAAGGGACCCCCACATGCTCCGGGCAGGGTGGGGCTGGTACAGTCTGAGGAGACCAGTGACAAAGCTGCAAAGTGGAACCTTTTGAGGAGACATGAAATCAAACCTTTTTTACTACAGGCACAAATACATGTTTGTAAGTGTTCCGTTAAAATCCAATCTGACACTGGCCAGTCAGTCTACTCAAGTGTTCCTGGAGGGGCGGAAGGGGGGTGTCATTGGCAAAAAGGTGAGGCTGTAGGGTCAAAGCCTTTAAAAACGTCTTTGAGTGAAGCATTATCCTGCTCTGAGGAGGTCTGCTCCGAGTCCACAGGGCTGCCCCCCTCAAAGGGGCTGCCTCCACCCCCTGCCTTACTCTGTTTGACCACCCCAAACAGGGAGGGCACAGGCAGGCTGTGCACTCCAGCAGTCTCTGTCCCGGCCTGGCCTGGGGCCACCGGGGCGCTTCCACCTGGGACCCCATGGTTGGGAGATGGGGCAGGCTTTGGTCGTGGTCGGTTGTAGCTGTTGTAGCGATCGGTGCCCTGCTCAGAGCTCTTTTCTGGCTCAGGCTGGTCCAAAGCAGACTTACGGATGAACAGAGGTTCCTTGGACTTGGCCTTGAGGTCCGAGCGAGACTCTGAAGGGGAGCTCCCCCCTCCAGGGCTGTCAGGTTTGTGAGTGCGCGGGTCATACAGACTGATGCTACCAAGCACATTTGTGCCCACTAAGGTCACTGATGTAGCCGCTCTGCCCGTAGCCCCAGAGGACAGCAGCCGAGGGTCATATGGGGCTGTTGTGGGGGGTGACTTTGACCCAGACGGGGGTGAACCAGACAGTGCTGAATCCAACACCTGCTTTAAGGCTGACTTCTGTGGCTGAATCCGAGGATCTGAAGGGGCTTTGCGGGACACTCTAGGGTCGGAGCGGGGGTCTGCTGGTTTGTCCTGTGTGGAGGCAGCAGGAGGCAGTGGGGGGCTTTGGGTGGGACTCGAATTGACCGTCTTAAGGATGCGAGAGAGTAGCTGCAAATCAGGTACAGAGGACCCTGAGGAAGGCTCTACTGGGGCTGGCTGTGCACGAGACAGGCGTGGATCTATGGACGGGGCAGGAGGGGTGCCAAGGGGCAGGGGGTCCTGTTTGGGCAGGGGCAGAGGCAGTAGGTCCTGGGGGGACCAAGTGACTGCTTTGGAGAAGGCGGGCAGAGGCAGCACAGTGTCTTTCTTAATGTGGCTGAACTGCTGCAGCTGCTGCCGGGGGTCCCAGAGTTGTAGTCCCAACAGTGGCTCTAAGGGGATGGGCACTGGCTTTTCCCGAATCACCCGCTCAGGCTCCTCCTCCTCCACCACTGCCGCTGTCAGAGGGGGCGGCTTGTACACCAGAGGGGACTCTGCCTTTGGGGTGAGGGGCTGCTGGGGTGAAGTGAACCTGGCCAGACGGGGGTCAGCAGGGGGGCCTGAGGGGGCACAGTCTGACGCTTGAAGTGCCTCTCCAGTGCGGAGCAAGCGGGGGTCCCGGGATAATCGAGGGTCTATGGGGCGAGAGGGAGGAGCTGTGGTCGGGGCCTTCAGCATGCGAGGGTCGTTAGGTGGGGGTTCACTCTTTACAGGGGCTTGGCTTTGCTGGCGAAGGGTTTTCAGGATGGAGGTAACACTGCTCCCACCATCCTCCTCTTCACTGGAGTACCAGTTCCCCGAGTCTCCTGGGACAGAGCAGAGAACAGCACACGTAAAACATGATGACAAACAAAACAAAGGCTATTGTCTTACGAACACAGTTCCATGTCTTTAGGAAAGACACTCCATCTGCCAGTGGATGTGTGAATGTGGGGAGTTGGTGGTCTCCTCTGTAGCTGTAGTTTCTCTTTGAGAAATGGGTAAAGGCCTTCATAACTTCTGTATTTTACATAATGCTGCTATTGTATCCTCCATTGTTTTGGTGGCCCTTAACCCTTATTCTGACAAAACGTACTAAAACGTAAAAATGGATGGCTCACCCTCTGTCTCTCGGCTCTTGTGGAGGTCTCCTTCGGCCTGCCTGCGGGCACGCTCCTCTTCCTCATGTTGCTTCTGCTGGATCCTCATGAACAGCACTCGCTGAGCTGGGGGCAGGAAGTCTGGGACAGTGACCCCTCCCTGGCCGCTGCTGTTGGTCACATCAGGGACACTGGACTGTGCTGCTCTGTCTCCAGAGAATCCCTGATAAGTGTCTCCTATGAGGACATTCAGGTTTATGTTTAGAGGCCTGGGCTCCACACACCACATTACCCCATGGGCCCTATACACTCACCTTCAGCCATAGCTCCTTCTGCCTGACTACCATCTTGATTGAAGAAACTATTCATATAGTTTCCAGCACCCTGATCAGGTCCTGGGGGCCCTCCGTGATCTCCCAGATACCCTCCACCCATGGGTGCGCCACTTGGGCCGAACTCTGGTATATCAGGAGGCAGCACACCTGCAGGTGTGGGGAAGTGTGTGGGAGGAGCCCCTGGGGCTCCTTGAGGAGGCTGCCCCTGTGAACTAGCAGGGCTCTGGCCCCTGAAACATATTCATATTCTTTCAGTCCATAGTGGATAGACAACATCACACAGATCACTTTAACATGCTCAGACTTGACTTACCGGACTGCTAGCTTCTGTGCAAGCTGACCAGTTGGTTGAACTTTAATTTCAAACAGGGATGGAATCTTCTTTCCTCCACCTCCACCCCCTCCAGCCCCATGAGCTGGAGGTCCTATGGGAGGAGAGGGGGCAGGTGGATTTGGGGCCACTGCTTGGTATAGAGCTACATCGGGATGGGCCGGTGGAGGGTTGGGAGGAGACACCACTACAGGGGGCTGGTTGGAGCCTAGGTCTCCTCCACTGAAGTCCGGACTGGCACTGGCCTCCAGAGGAAGAGGCCGGGGTGGTGTGGGCAGCAGACCCACTCCAGGAGGGGGCTTTGGGAGAGGATTGATGCCTTGCTTCTTCAGTTCCTCCACCTCCTTCTCATCTTCTGCCCCAGCCTCAGCATCCTCTGCCAGCATCTGAACACAACAGAATTACACAAATGTTTAACTGCCAGCACACAATACTAAGGCTTTGGTCTGTAGCCCGGGGATGGTCACATTGTCTCAGAAATTCTCAGACACCAGGCACTGTAAAATATAACTGAAGAGAATGCGCCGCTTAAGGGACAAGGCAGATTAGAGTTTCTTACAAGTTCTCCAAGTGGTACAAACTGTTCTCCAAGTGGTACGTTCACTTGATACAAAAGGGCAAAACATGTCACACTCTTATGTGTATTTGATAATACTTTGTGTTCTTGTGAAACTTTTACTCAGAAACTGAGATTCCAGATATCCAAATGAGAGGGCTGGGATCTCTAGTTTGACAATAATTTGCAAGGTTGGCTTTCCGTATTTATACATAAATGCTGCCATCTGCTGTCTAATTTCTGACAGAGATACAATTGTTCCAAAAACTAACTCAATAACATCACATGAAAATTCCCCTCTGAAATCTGAAGTCAAACCTGGGTGAGGAACAAGTGTCTACTGAAGTCCCAAGCACTACCCTTAGTTTAAAATGTATTTGCACACTTAGAGAAGTTTAAGACTATTTGTAGATGTTTAATTTACTAAGACGGAAATGGCCCTTCCATAAAAAAAAAGTTAAAGTGTAAATAAGTTTATTTAAAACTACACTAATATGTGAAAAAGCTAGGAAAATGAGGTGTGATGTTGTAATTTGTGTGAGAGTGCAGGGTGATTACCTTGCTGAGCAGCTCCTGTGTGTCATCATTGAGCTTGTCATGAGAGAACATGCACTCGTCTCCGTTCACACAGTGCCCTGTGGTGTGGAAGAGCTTACAGGGGAATTCACGTGGGCTTTCGGTCAAGGACTAACACAGACACTAACAAACACAGCCAGTAACACAGATACAGGCACAGGCCTATAGACAGTATAAAATTTTGAGTAAGTGTGATGTCACCCACAGTGTTCAGTTCCAGCCAAATGAAACTCATCGAGAGTGGCAGTTATAGAAGTGAATATGGACCAAAGTTTCATATTTGGAATTCCAGCCACAAGTATCATAGCAACAAACGAGCCAGTCCGGGGTAAGGCTGGTGAATGCCCCTTCCCTTACCAATGCTGTCATTCAAACCTGTTGCCAACGTCAAGCAACCTCAAGGAAAGAAGGCACCTCATTGGTCTGTTATAAATATGCATATCTTCATTTATGGATGATATAGCAACTAGGATAATTTAAGATGAAATTGAACAATCTGACAATAGCAGTTACGGAAAGAGGGGTGATGGGGGTAAATTGGAGTCAATGAAGCCAGAATCATGCCCATGCTTTGAAGGGGGATAGCTGAATAGCTACGTCCATTTACATATAATGTCTATGCATAGGCCTAAACATGGAGCCAAGCGCATTAGAGCAGTGAAGGATATCATGCATGTAGGGGCAGTGGTCAGCTCGGGCGCAGAACCCGGTAATGTAAAACTTGCACAGCTCCTTCTTCTTTGGCAACTCAATATCATGGCTGAAGTTACAGTGCTCCCCCTAGGAAAGAAAAATGACAGAACTTGAATTTAAAGGCTTTTCATGAATAGAGCTATAGCAGATGTCACCATGTAGTCCTGACAAGCAGTCACTTCAGAGCATTATCACACAATTATCATGCATCCTGCTAATGCAATTACTGCTAATTGCATCAAGTTTGTCAAGCTGATGTGAACATTGGAAATATGTTTTTGTATATTTATGATGAATAACTGTCTGGGTGGTGTAGGCTTGTGGGCTGAGAATTGGATGTAATTTTACAGCTAACCGTAAGGAGGGATCAAATGGGACAGATTACTAGATTACTAAAACATGATTTTGATGAGGGGGCAACATTATAAAATGGTAAAAATCTCTTAAAAATTAATTTTGTATTAAAATACCTCTTCAATTAATTATTTTAAATTAATTAGTCAATGGATTATACAGCCCCTTTCAAGACACCCAAAGCACTTTACAGTTCATTGTTCATTCACTCCACACTCAGTGGTGGTAAACTACAATTGTAAGCAACAGCCGCCCTTGGGCAGACTCACGCATAAAACACTTTATTGGAGTTTCAGAGATGGTGGATTATTGTTGCACACTGGAATAATTCAGAGCCAGAAGAAAACCAGAACCTTTTCTAGGGAATCATTTAACCATTGTCTCATAAAAAATTAAGCGAATGAGAAGAGAAATTATTCCAAATGTGTTTCGCAAAACAATTTTTGCAGAATTTATCTTCTAGAAATGTTGATTGTAGAAAAATTAAACCACAACCTAAACCAAAACCAAAACTACAAATCATGTGCAATGCCCCCCCAAAAAAATCAAGGTTTTTGGGGCATTGTACTGACCTGAGTCAATAACCTGCTGGGTATGTATAACACCTGCACATTAGTTAAAGTTTTCACTATTTTATCAAGACATCATTTCATACCTCCTTGTCAAAGCCTGATCTTGTCAGATCTCAGAAGATAAGCAGGGCTTGGCCTGGTCAATATCAATCAATGTCAATATCAGTAAGCATTATAGGTACAGGGCTTTTTAATTTATTAATTTAATTTAATACTTTTTGATGATATAAAAAGGTGGTAGAAAGTAAATTAGATGTCCAGATACGGATTTAGGGCACAATCCAGACAAGGTAATGCTAGGTAAATGTCTCTAATGTTTAATCTGTTTAGTTTTAACATACATTTTGTCTAAGATTTAAATTAAGCAGGCTTTTGGCATTCATTGTCACCAACTATTCTCTGCCAAAATGGAGTCCCTAAGTCCCACATTAGGCCATGGAGAGTGCAGAGCTAAAGTATATTGCCATACATTTGAGTGAAGTAGTAAAAGCAGGATAAACATGTCTCACCCATGTACATCTGCCCTCCATGTAGTACTTGCAAATGGCCTTTCCCTTCTTGTCTGTGGGCTTGTCACTGTGACCTCGTCTGCCTCCATCTGCAGGACCGTCCTAAAGCATGGTGGAACAAACAAAATACAGGTGAGTCATGTGTAGGGCTCTGGTGTGCTTCAAGGTGTTGGAAGAGACTCACCCCATTGTCCATATCTCCACTATGGTCCTCGTCATGTCCCAGCTCACCTCTGCCTCGTCCCCGGCCTCGCCCCTTTCCCCCTCGTAGCATACCTCGCATTCCCCGCCCTCTGCCACGGACACGCCCACCTTTACCTCCTGCAACACAACACACACAACATTCACTACTGCTTTGAGTCATATGAGGCCAACACATATTGTCTTTCTAGTAGTATTATTATAATAATAAGAATAAAAATATCGATATATCATGATACAAAATTTGGTGATACAGTATCAATATTGTGGGCTGCTGTATTGCTATATTGTCAAAAGTTTTTCTTTTAGCTGTTTTTTTATTTAACACACAACATTTTGTTGCTTAGTTAGGAAACTTGTTTATGCAATACACTTGACACTATTTCGATGGTAAAAATTGATATTTCATATTAACTTTGCAGTTAGTATGAAATACAGTAGTAGCAGTTTAACAAAGAAATACTGTTGCTAAAATGTATTTGGTTCTTTAAAACACCAATATATCATAGGCGATATAGGCTACTGATTATCACATGTATCGGCATATCTTAGTAATATCAAGTATCGTATCGAATATGAGGGGCACTGTGATTCCCATGCCAACTTACTAGAGAGAGGGCAACAGTGAGACATACCTCGGCCCCGGTCTTTGGTTTTCTTGTATTGACTCAGCTCTTTCGAATAGTCATCGTAGCCATCCTCGTGGTCATACTCATCCTCGGCATACTGTAGTGAAAAAGAAAAAGGAACTGTTTGGTCAGCAGATTTTACATGTCATGTTATTATATGTCACTATAACATTGAAAAAGTGTATTTTTATTATTTATTGAATCAGCAAAGTGCATGTACATGTTTTAGGGGAAACCAGAGCACCTAGAGCAAACCAACACAGGCACAGGGAAAACCTGCAAACGCCACATAGCAAGGCTACGCGCCACCGAAGACTCAGGACCTTTTTGCTATGAGGCTGCAGCACTAACTACTGTGCTATCATGGTACTAAATATTGTGACATCATAAGTGAAGACCAGAGAGAGCAGGGGCTAGCCTTACCTCCATATCCTCTCCATACCCTTCGCCTTCATCGTCTCCCAGCTTGCCTCCTCGGCCACCCCGGCCTCGGCTGCCCCCCCTGCCTCTACGGTTCCCCCTCATTCCTCCTCGGCCTCTTACACTCCGTATGCGCCCTCTGGTTCCTGTAAAGACCAACATCATACACTTTTACTGAATTGTGCGGTGTAAACCTAAAGTGGATACAGGTGGATATCTTGGTCTCTATATAAGGATACTGTTGTGGAGGGATTGATGACTTTAGGTCACTATCAGTCCAACTTAGTATGAATTTCATACTGTATTACTGGCTCCCTTAGAGTAAGTGCTATGTTGGAGGCCTACCTCTGCCAGGACGCCCGCCCTCCTTGGCCTTTCGGTACTGGTTCAGTTCTTTTGTAAAGTCATCATACTCTTCCTCAGGAATCTCCTCCTCCTCCTCTCCCTCATAGTTGTCTTCATCATAATCGTCGTAGCCCTCATAGTTAGGCTTGTCCATCTTCATGTAGGAGCTCTTCTTGCTGTATGCATTATGAGACTTAGGACACAAAATCATGAGAGTTTTAGTAAAAGCACAAAGTGGATGAGCATGTGCTTTAGTACAGGGGCCTTACAGACTGATAAGGAGGGCTGTAGTCCCTGTATTTCCTCTTCTCACTGGGGCTGTAGTCAGAGTCGTCGCTGAAGTCTGAGTGCTCGTCGTTGGAAGAGGTATGGCGCTGCACCACAGACAGGAGTTACATTTTAATGAATTTACAACATTAAGATTACCTTTTATAACAACTATAATTAGCAAAAGATGCTTCTCAGATCTCATTATTAAGGTATATATATACTGCTCAACAAAAATTAAAGGAACATTTTGAAGACACATCATATGTCAATGTGAAAAAATATATATGTTGGATAGCACAGGGGCACTAGAGACAACCCCTAAAACAGAACTGGTTTTGCGTGTGGATGTCATCACAAGTTTCTTCCTCTTGGTCTTTTTTGGCTGTTTTTTCACTAGTGCTGCTTTGGCTAGAGTGATTATCACTACTGGGAGTATGAGGCCATTTCTTAATCCTACAGAAGATGCACAAATTGTCCAACTTCTCCAAAATGGCACATCTGGACATGCCATTGTAAGGAGATTTAATGTGTCTCCAGCACAAGCTCCAGAACATGGAAGAGATTTCAGAAGACAGTCAGAATGACCTCCACCACTGGTGCCCTGTGCTTTTCACCCTGATCACCCTTTTCACCTATGATAGATATGAAAGGAGAACGCTATGCTGCCTGCAACATGGTTCAGCATGAGCAGCTGGGTGGTTGAGTGATGGTCTGGGGAGGTATATCTATGGAGGGACGTGTGCAGACCCGTACTGACTAGAAAACAGCACCTGCCATTAGGTGCAGGTAGGACTTGGAGGATGAAGAGATTGACACAGTTGAATGGCCCTCACGATCACCTGATTTAAAGCCAATAGAACACCTCTAGGACATTATGTTTCGGTCCATCAGATGCTGGCAGGTTGCTCTTCAGACTCTATAGGACCGCAGTAAAGCCCTTACACACATCTGGGAGGACATCCCACAAGACACCGTCCACTGTATCATTAGGAGTGAGACTTGACATTGTCAAACATGCACACTAGCTCGTGAGAGCCACACAAGATATTGAGAAGCATTTTGAGTTGCAGAAATTAAATTTAGGCAAAATGGAATAGCCTGCTACATCATTATCTGACTTTGATTTTCAGGGTGTCTATAAAATGAAGCCCTCTGTAGGCTAAAATTGTATTTCCATTAAAAGATTAAAAGAAAGATCCTTTTGTTGTTGTTGACATTGCCCTGTCCATATTTGTATACATCCAGCAGATTTTTTTTTTTTCACATTGAGATCTGATGTGTTTTAATTTAGTTTAATTAAATTGTTTTGAGCAGGGTATATTAGATAGTTTTACTTTTACTTAATTGTTCAGGTCTGAGCCATAATCATAGTAAGGAATATATCTGCTATTGTTATTGTAATAAGATGGAGATTATTTTAAGAAGGGGATAAGCGTAAACACACCCAGACACAGCAAGGCCTCAGGTGGTCCAGGTGTCATGCCCAGGTACATGTGCCTGGCAAAGTGGGCTCACAGTACCACAGCATGTTTGGCACATGTTGTATGCTATAGCTCACAGTACCATGTATGTAGTACTCACTTTATGTTTGGACTTGCGCTTCTTCTTAATGCGTCTTTTCTCTCGTTCACGCTCCTTCTTCCTCTTCCTCTTCCGTCGATGTCCTCTGTCATCTTCCGACTCTCCGCTGTGATGGCGCTCTCTGCTGCGTTTGCTGTCCCCCCCCAATTCCCCAAGGTTCGCCTCATCTGCCCCGTCCCCACTCCGGGCTCCTGCTGTACCATTGTCCTCTTCCTCCATCTCTGCCCCGTCATCTTCCAGCTCACCCTCCTCCAGCTCACCATCATCTGGCCTACACCACACATTCAACAGTTGAATATATATATGAGTGATAACATTGTATTGCAAGTGCTGGCACAGAACTGTAATAACTTAATAAGAATCCTTATTGACATTAATTCATATTTTAGTCCTGGTGTATTCTGGGTCTAGTTCCAGTTTAATCCCAGTTTTCATGTGGTGTGTGTGTGGAGCCAAAGCCTTTGGAAACAGCCCCTGCTCTGACACACACACTTTGATTCATTCTTGGGAATTTAAAATGGCACTGCCTCTGTCCAGTGTCCAAGGCTTAGAACTCTCTAGAGTTCTAGCATTTCTTTCTTTATAACATATTTTGAATGCAAAGGCATTTGAGTTGGATAATTATACAAACAAATTAATAAACAAACTATAGGCCAGCTCTTTACTGTTCTCTCTCTCAGTAAAACTTTTCAAAATCTCGATAATGATATTCAAACAATATTTCAACAGTAAATAAACCTGCATTCTATTCAATGTCGGTAGTTGATAAATCCAAGTCAGTTTTCCCGACCTCCGTTCTAAATGCGGTCCATTGCAACAGTTGGGGAAAATATGGATGCCAGAGGAGGTTTAATGTCCAACCGATTTGGTCCGCACCGAACTAGCCCAAGTTTGTGTTTCAGAACCCCGATTTGATTGGCCATTCCACTGCACTTTCTCGAGGTGGAGGGTAGTTTTCCCCGAGTTCCAAGTACAACAGAATGTGGAATATGTTCAAATGTCTTTAGAGTTTCAACTAGCACACAAAATGCAAAAGGGACCATAAAATTAACCACGAGAGCAGAACTGTTCATTTATACTCATGTTGGAGATTACGCTATACGTTTCAGTCTCTTTTTGAGGCATTCTTAAATAGTTTTAGTTATAGAGACTACATTTTCTGCAATATTATCAATTTTTCAATGTCGTCCCTACTGAACAAGTCATGCTGATAGGGCTGTAACAACATATTTTTTAAGTTAAAGTAGGCTATCTATTCTATCAGTTTGTCAGTTAACAAGGTAGTATTTAATTTGTTGACTAAAACTTAAGTGTTTTAATTGTAATGGGAATAATTTACGTTAATTAAGAAACTGGAAATTCTGATAGCTACGGTAGAACTCTGTAATAGGCTACAAATGAACATGTGAGGCTAACCAGGAAGGAGGACAGAGGACAGTGAACACAACATTTAAGTCAAGTCAGTTGCTGATAGTTATGCTTTTCAACCTTATGTACAAACATTGTTTAAAATCAGTGAATTCTTTACTTAAAACTGTGGCTATGTTCTAGTGTGCATTTAAGCACAAGAGCACACTGGGATATGCAAATGTGCATAGCATGTAGGCACATGAATGGCCATAATAATGAGGAGTACTTACTGTGTCATGCTTCTTCACATTTAGCAAGTATATCTTTCTAAGGATACTGTTGTGTGGGGACTGTCAGGGGATCATGGGATGGGGCCAGTGGGCCACGGTTTGAAAAAAAAGAAAAACGCCAACTGGGAACATAGGACAGGGAACGTGTCTTTTTAGATACTTATAGATGCTTTGCAAGACGTGTTTTTGTGTAGGTGATTTATAATAGTTTATGGTATAGATTAGATTAAACTCATAAAATATGTTGTAATAAATAGCATTAACATAGCTTTGATTGTACATAGACACAAGTTTATTCATGGGTTTCTGATTCCTGTTATAGGTAACATTTTTTGAGGACTTCACCATTCAAAAGATATTAAGATTTTAATTGCTAATTACTATGACAACGATCCGGATTTTTCATCATTTTGAAGATTGTTATCTAAGCTAATGCTAATCAGGCTAACACTGGTGAAAAGCAGATTCATAAGATGTCGTACATGTATAAACATAATAAACGAGTGTATTTTGTTTCATATACCGGGGTTATTAGTTCAGGATTGTATTCTGTGAGTAATGGAGTCTAATGACTTCCGTTAGCTGACAGGCTAACTTTGCTAGCTTATCTTATTTTATCTTAGCCGGGATGGGGGTTAATGAAACCACAATCTCCTTGATATTCTTCGCACCAGTTCCTAATTTATCGTAATTCCAACACGAAGTCAATATCGGATGGCTGTCGGGAATGGGCATAGAAACGTTTCTTTCGTAACCTAGGCTAGTTTCCATTAGCAGTAGGCCGTAGATCCAGAGGTAGGCCCATTGCGGTGGCTACAACTTCCCTGCTCACTATTTGACTCTGAATAAACCTTTTGTTTTGGCGTCTTAAAAATGAAAGGGATTTTATCCAGGATATGTCCCAGTTGGCGTTGCCGTGGCCACTGTACCTGTTTTCCAGAAAAGGCGAGTTTAATCCCTTTGTCAAAAATAAAGAAAAATAACCCAGGCTTTGTGTAAAAGAGCAGGAGAAATAAATAATTTGATATTGAGTGTAGAATTACTCGACCTTTCGTCAGTCAGGAGACTGTTGTGTTCGTGGTTGGAGGTTGGGGAGTTTGGATGAACAGTCATGCTTTCCACAGCCATTCCCACACGCTACATTGAGGTAGCAAAAATGACACTCGGCTCTAATACTGGCTTATGCGTCACTTCACTAGGATCTACTTTTGGATTTTAGGAAGCGTTTCAGTTCATAGTAGGCAATTCTCCACTACAGTTGTAAGATAAATTTGGTGAAATTGTCCTGGTGTTGTCCGTCCTACAGTAGCGATGTAATGACGACTGACAAACTTAAAATGGCCGCACCGCCTTCTTCTTCAGAGACACAAGAGGTGGCTCTACAGGGCCGAAGAACACGTCACACATACGGAAATGTCCGAGTTGACACGAGTCTGACAGGAGGAGGAGAGGAGAGCGGTGGAGATGCGTTTTTATTGCATCTGTCAAGTTTAAATAGCCTAGATAAAGCATAAGCCTACTGCTCTGTAATATGTTAATGTTAAAGGTTTATTTTTGTGACCCAAAATCAATTTTGAGTATTGTGTGTAGAATAAATTGAAGTTGCCCCAGAGTTGTAAGAGGCATGAGGCTGGAGTTCTAACACAGAAGTTTATTTACATCAGTACAGACCCTGCACCCGGATCCAAGATCTCCCAGGACACTGTGATAATGTACGTCAATTAAGGGCTGAGCTGGCAGTGTGAGGCTGACATGACGGCACAGCAATGCAATTTCTCTAAACTGTAAAGTTACAGACAAAATAAGAGAATCATATAGGCCCACTGAAGAGTCATAGGAATGTTTTTTTTAATCACAAAACCATGAACTAAACCTCAACTGAGTGGGCATGTAGGCAAACCTTACTATTAATTGGATTGTTAACTCTGGTGGGAGTGCACCTGTCTTTGCTTTGCCTGGAATGTTTCACAGTATGGTATGAGATTAAACTTATTTACCTTAGGCCAGTAGGCCTACCTGCTTGGAGCCACATGGTCTAGTAGGTTGCTCAAAATAAGAATGCATGTCTTTCAATGTATTTTTGACCAATAAAAACACACATAGTGAAAATATTGCTTGGTAACTAGTGACATAATGTGGAATATTCCAGGCAAAGCGACATTTCCATTTCCATTTCGGGCACCCAAAATTGAACCTGGGTTGCCAGTGCCTTAACCTCCTACTAGAGCACACAAACAAGTTTAAATTATGGACAGGCCATGCCTCATGTGAAAGCTCAGAATCTCCAGAATTCACTCAGAGTCTGCACTCGCACAGATTTAAATGTGTGGCCTCCATCCCCTGCTGTAAAATGAAACCCTTTTTATTGAAAGACTTTGATGGCCTGACTGAGCAATTCTAAAGTAACATAAATAATACTGTCTATTTTAATGATTTCTCTTAAAGGCATTTGTCAAATGAGCGTGTTTTGGAGCAGGTACTAGCTGTGTCTTGATGCAGTAACCGCAATCTAGAGCTCAACACAAGGCAGTGCACAGTGACACCTTATGTGTCTGATTCAAATATGCATGTTTGGGTTTTTTTCCACAGTGTGAATGTTCTCTGCAATGCCTAATAATCTTTCCTGATTCAGAGATGATACATTTAGATTTTTTTACATAACATAACAACATAACATAAACATAAACTTAAACTTAACATACATGCTAACATCTATGAAGAATTTTATTTTTTTTTTCTTGTCATGTGAAGATTATGGAACATTAAAACAGTTTATCCCTCTGTTCTTGAGTCCTTCCTACATAGGCCTTGTGATCAAGGTGAGGAATTTAAACATGAGCTATAAAACGAGCCCAACAGCCCAGTTTGGACTGTGAAAAAATGTAAGACTTCTCCTCATACACTCACTTGTACATATAGAGAGTACTGGGAAATAACTAAATACATGTACCAAAAATATGTATTTTGAATTCTTATTTTAAGTAGCTCTATTCTGGAACAGTTACTCTTTCATTTGGTGGTATTCACAAGTTATTATTATTATTATTATTATTATTATTATTTTTTTTTTTTTTAGGAATACAAAAAAAAAAAAAAAGGAATACTTGGTGCTTGATCACATAATTTTGGCTTTGAACTGCACAGTTCTAAAACTGCAGATCTTGCAATGCATGTGCTTGCTATTTTCCTCCTCTAATTAGACAAAAATTATCGCATGACATGCATGCGTAACAGTGCAGCAAAGATAAAGCTACCCTTCCATTTCCATTTGAACAAAATCTAAAGCAAACTCTAAACAATGTCAGTCCCAGGTGGTTGCATCCCTCTCCTTCTGTAATTTTATACACACACATATATATATATATATATATATATATATATATATATATATATATATATGTATGTGTGTGTGTGTGTGTGTGTGTGTATGTATATATATATATATATATATGCATGTGTGTATGTGTATATATATATATATATATACACACACACACACACACACACACACACACACACACACACACATATATATTATTGTTATTTCAGTATTTTTCAGATTTTTTCTTGCAGCAATATCTTTTTCATAGGCTTCTCACATGGAAGTAAAATAATATATATTTTTTAATTACTTAATTATTTATTTGGTTTATTATGAGACACGGACAGTGCACACGCTACATGAGCCTTAACATGAGAGGTGCACTGTGCAGGTTGTAGCTCATGTCCACCTCGAATCTCTCATGCACATGCTCGTGCACAGCTCAGGGCTTTTTAATGGCTATTGTTTGCATGTGACGTCATCATTCGGCGACCAGTCATTCAGCGGGTCAGGCCATCCACCTCAGGGCTCAGGGTTTTGAAAAGGTATCGTGGTAAAGGGTCTATAATTGAAGAGTGCAACACGATTAAATCATACGCGATGATTGATATGATCGAAAGAAGAGACGATGATCAGCGAGGAGGAGGCGGCTCAGTACGACCGGCAGATCCGCCTGTGGGGGCTGGAGGCACAGAAGAGGTGCAGCCCGCTCACTTCCTACCGTGTATACAACTGTTTCTTTTATCACTATTGCTTAACATGACTGCGCTTTTCCTACTATTAATCTCTATCCAAATCATGCCCGGTGTATGTGGAACATAATCGATGAGGTATTGCATCAACAAGATCTAGGAATCTGAAATTCAAAATGCAGAGAAAATTCCTTATTCTCAGACCTTCAGTTAAAAGGTGCTTTAAGTTCACATATCTACATAGAGAGGTTATTGCTTTTCCTAGAATGTACCGCAATATGGTATTAAACTAAACTTGTCTCCTTGGAGACAAGCATGTGGTACCACCTGGCCAAGTTACAGGTCAGATCAGGTAGATGCAACACCACTCCTCAAAGATTTCCACCATGAAAACACCTGTCACTGAATACATGCAACATAATTATAACATAAATGATCTAAAGAAAATGTCTCTTGTCACGCTAGGCACTTTGACACAGGCTCAGCTGACCTCTTTCATCTACAGTTGAATTAAATCCAGAGCAAACTTTTGAATATTGTCAGTCTCAGGTGGTGTTGCATCTCCATATATCTTATTACTGACATGGTGACATTGTGCCTGGTGTTCCAGACTGCGGGCCTCTCGTGTGCTACTGGCCGGTTTAGGAGGTCTAGGGGCTGAAATCGCAAAGAACCTCATTCTGGCTGGGGTCAAAGGGCTCACGCTTCTGGACCACAAACAGGTTAAACACATACACACACACCATCAGATCTTATTTTTAATTTATTTTTTTAAAATGGCTTAATATGGAACCTTTAAGTCGTTACAGTAATTCCTGTGACAAGCCTATCTGTGTTGCTGTATGTTCTCCTCAGGTATCAGAAGAGTCATGTAGGGCTCAGTTCCTGGTACCAGTGAGCTCTCAGGGACAGAACCGAGCCCAGGCGTCCCTAGAGAGAGCCCAAAACCTCAACCCCATGGTGGAGGTGCATGCAGACCCCTCAGCCATTCACGACAAGCCCGATGACTTCTTCCTGCAGTTTGATGCAGTCAGTAGAACTTGATTTCTAGTGATTTTTATGCTATACTACACAGTCTATCTCCAATTATTAGAATATTATGAAAAAGTTCAATATTTTTTGTCACTAATTTCAGAACGTCAAATCCATATATAATATAGACTCATGGCACATAGAGAGTTTCAAGACTGTATTCCTTGAAATTTTGATTATTATGGCTTACAGATAATGAAAACCCCAAATTCTGGTAGATTGACTGTGTTCTTCAGAAAACACATTAGACCAACACCAGCAGATAAGCTGGCAGCCCAAATCATCACTGACTGTGGAAACTTCACACTCAACATCAATATCAACAGCAACGTGGATTCTGTGCCTCCCCACTCTTCTTCCAGACTCTGGGACCTTGAGTTCCAAAAGATATGCAAAATTGACTTCCCCAAATTCTTGAGTGGATTTTGCTTGAGAATCCTCTCAAGGCTGCGTTCATCCCTTTTTGCTGGTGCAAAACCTACTACACTTTTTTCTTACACTCAAGAGCCGTGACTTTCTAATATTGAACTTTTTTACAATATTGTAATTTTCTGAGATTCATTACACTCTATGTGTAATGAATCCTTATAATATACAGTTTTGAGTTTTTGAAATGAGTGACAAAAAATATTTAACTTTTTCATGTTGTATATTATTAACACAGGTTATGTAACTGAACAAACCTGTTAAGAAAAAAATGTATTAAAATATCGAATTCAATTTTGATACCAAGGAATAGAGCCGATACCACTATGATGATAAAAACACTCTTTATTTAGACAATAGAATGTGATTTTCAACATTAAATTCTACTACTTTCTTTTGTATTATCATGCGACCTGGTATGTGTGTAATACCTCAGTGGGCCAGGTAGGTTCCATAGTGGTCTATGGGTGTATACTAGACTATGCGCTGTTATACTTCTATCATTCTAAAGCTATACAGGAAAGTTTAATTTCTGTTCTGTGAATGTGATTTTTAGTATCGATATATGCTCAGATAAGTATCTGCTTTCTATACTTTGTATGTGTGGGACTTTATGGAGCTTGTTTTAATACTGTTGCAGAAGGCTCACGTATGGTGTGCTCTGACAGGTGATTCTAACAGGCTGCCCTCGAGACCTGATGCTGCGCCTGGACCAACTCTGTTCCCAGCACAACATCAAAGTCTTCTGTGGTGATGTCTATGGTTACTATGGATACATGTTCACCAACCTGGGCCTGCAGTACCACTATGTTGAGTGAGTAGCATGTGTCCTGTACACACGGTGTACATATAAAGAAGTGGACTGAGGGAGTCATCCATAGCGTTCAGTTCAAGTACACTC